CTCGGACCCAAGGGAAAGAATGGTGAGCGGAAGACGCGATCTCAGGAGAGCTCAGTTACACGACTTATGGCGAAGGTAATGGGCCCTTCAGCCCCCTATTTATAGTCCACCACATTTGGCAATCAACGGTTGAGATCTGTACGATCTGATGGCTCCCATGAAAATCGGTTGCATGCTACCCGAGAATGAAATCGGTTCAGCGCGCCCTTTGGTGTCCGCTGAATTTATAAACAGTGTGACGTCTGCGCGTGACCGAGTCACGATCTGGGTCATTTCGTGGTTGAGCCAGATGACTGAACATGTCCGACCAGCGGCTCACCCTTCTAGCCGCCTAGACTTCGTGCCAAACCCACCTGGACTCGTCATGAACTCCCCGCACCGAGTCAGGACCCCTGGCACGAGGAGTGGGGGACAATTAATGAAGGGTGATTTGGCACAACCTAGTAAGAAGGGGACATGTAGACGTAATCTGCTCGAGGGGTGACAACTCAGCTAAACGAACCTGGCCCGCAACATTCGGAGCTCGGATGTTTAGCCACCTCGGCCCAAAAACCACCTCGACACCCAATCCAGTTTGGGACTAAAGAACTAAGGTACCAATTCAGAGCCAAAGAGTCGAAACGCCACGTAATTGACTCGAAAGGCCTCCCCAACGGACCCCGAATTTCTCGGATCACGACGAGACTCATCCTAGCTCCGCCTGAATCGGAGGAAGACGATAAACCTTATCAACACATTGCTCTCCTTCAAAAACGAAACAGATCTTATTGGCACTGTCCGGAGATCCCAAAGCTCTTTCATAAGGCCCACGACTACTCCATTATATAAGGACATAAAACCCCAATGCAAAGGTACGCATGATTGTTTTACTCACTAGCATTCAATCACTCAAATATTCAGCTCGCATCCACAGTATAGTACTGACTTAAGCATCGGAGCGACCTTGCCGGGTTAGCTACCCTGGGTTCTCTGATCTACTATTTTGTAGATTGATCCAGCTCGCCGCACAACTAGAGTTTGGATCATCTTCCAGGAAGGGGTATCTAGATCGTGCACCATCAGCTTAGCTTGGGCCCTATCTGCTAAAACCATCATATGACTCCAAAAGTTTGACACCCAATTAGACTTTGAATATGATTATCCCTGATAATGTGTGGGCATGGTGCATATCTCAGCTAGACCTAACTCAAAAAAAAAAAGAGTTGCTTGAGCCTACAAATTTATAAATCTAATCGGGTTAGGTTAAGTTATAAACGGTTTGTTACTTGTTATTATTAATTATTAAAATATTGTAATTATTAAATTACTGTATTTATTTAAAATTTAGCAATTTATGGAAACTATCATATTTTTAGAAATACTACTAATTTCTTAGCTAAAACTAATTAAATGTAATTTTTTGGTAATTAAATGTAATTTTCTACTATTTATAGCTTAAATTATAGTTACTATTAATTATAGTTTAAAACTAATTATTGTTAATTATATTACTATTAATAATTAAAATACATTATTTTTTCATTATTATTCAATATTTTTTTGAAATAAAATACAATTAATTTAAATTTTTAATTATTTTTAGTATTTTAATTTAGCTTTAGGTTTTTCAAAATTTTCAGATTTTTAATTAATTTTTGGTGTTTTTTTATTACTATTTATTAATTTTTTGCATGTGTATTTTTCAATAATTTTTAGTATTTTCAGCATTTATTTTTGCATATTAGTCACTACAAAATTCACTTGCATTTGCTTTCAATAATAATAAATTAAATAACTAAATGGATACCATAGTTAATAAAAAAATACAACTAGTTTTCAATAATTTCTAATTAGGGTATTTTTTTAAAAAAATTGTGGTATTTTTTAATAATAAAATACTATTAATTGTAATTTTTAATTATTTTTAGTATTTTAATTATGTATAGGTTTTTCAGAATTTTCTAGATTTTTAATTAATTGTTGGTATTTTTTCATTAATATTCAATCATTTTTGCATATGAGTAATTTTTGCAATAAAATACTATTAATAAAACAGGTTCTGCATTTTAAATTCTCATTATTTTTATCATTTTTAATGATTTCATTATGCACAGTAAAGGTCTAAACTCATAAAAATTATTAGTTAATTAAAAATTTATTAATATAAAGTTATTTAGTAGTATTATTAAAACTATCAATTAATTTTTTTATATTTAAATTTCTTATTTTTAATTAATTGTTGTATTTTTCATTATTATTCAGTAATTTTTGCAATAAAATACTATTAATAAAATGGGTTCTACATTTTAAATTTTCATTAATTTTTATCATTTTTAATGAGTTCATTATGCACAATAAAGGTCTCAACTAAAAAGTTATCTAATAATATTAGTAAAACTATCAATTAGTATTTTTATATTTAAATTGCTTTTTACCTTCAACTACTGATTCACAAAGCTTGTCAGCTATTTCCTCAGCCACATTCTTGGTCATGTGCCTATCCTTGAGAGTTTTCAAAGCTGGCCCTAAATCCCATTTCTCTAAATATACTTTCCTGTAATACTCTGGAACATTGATGAAACCACCCTTCTTTTGCATCGACCTTGGTGTCCTTCCTCTTCTTTTAAGTCTCACTTTGGTTGTTTATAACTTCTTCGGAGAGTCTAGCTGAACAAGTTTGAAATGATGGAGGTGATGGGAAGGATGGAGGCTTTGTGGGGCTCAGACTGGCCGTATTTCAGGCCATGGCGGTGGTTAGAAAAGGGCAATCACTAGAAAATGGAGCTTCGTCCGTGTTTCAAGCACGACCCAATATATGCTTAGGGAAGGACATGTCATTCTAGAATATGAAGTGGGTGGTGGCTGGTATTCTGCGATGGTTTCGGGTTGTGTCGGCGATGAAGAAAGGTTGTGAGTTAAATTTTTGTCATATTTAACTTTGAACATGAAAGGTGGGTTTCTGGTGAGGATAAAAAAAGAGGAGGAAGGTCTGGCAAGCACTAAGCTGTTAGTTGTTAAGAAAAACAAAAGGGAAAATTTTTTATCAGTATTCTGTACTTTGGCTCGAGTGACAATTTGGTCTTCGAACTTTAAAATGTGACAATCTAATATCTGAATTTTCAAAATGTGACAATCCAGTACCTATCGCTAACTAGTTCGTTAATTAGCCATTAAGTGACATTTGAAAAAGTAAAAAATGCTCTTCGAATGCCATCTAATTCTCTTTATCAACCATCCAAACATTGATAAAAAACTGAATAGTCCCAAATCCTAGCCTCTTCTATTCAAAAACTTTAGTGACTGTTTAGAATAATTTAGAATTTGGGACTGTTCATTTTATTGTCAATGTTTGGGTGGTTGATAAAGAGAATTACATGGCATTTTTGATTTTTCAAATGTCACTTAATGGCTGATTAATAGATTGATTAACGATAGGTACTGAATTGTCACATTTTGAAAGTTTGGGTATTGAATTGTCGCATTTTAAAGTCGGGGACCAAATTGTCACTTGAGCCGAAGTACAGGATACTGATCAGGGTTTTTCTTGAAAAAAAAGATAAAAATAAATTAGAAAAGAGTAGTTTGGGCATGTAGAAAACTTTAAATTGTCGGATGAGAGAAAGGGGTCTTTGTGTAATGAATGATGGCCAAAGTTCAGGGGAGTCTTTGTCGCAAATTAAAGTATAGGGGTCTTTGTCACTGGCCCCATAGTAGGGCTGTTCATGGGTCGGGTTGTGTTAGTTTACTGGGGTTTTCCCAACTGACCCGACCTGGTCAGGTTACCCGAGGTGGAAACCGAAACCAACCCACTGATAGGCAAAATCGACATGGTCGGTTTGGGTTGGTTTCGGTTTTGCTCCTATACAAAAAGGACAGAGAAGCCTAGAACTAGAAGAAAATTTATTTGAAAAGATGGGAGAGTTGGGAGAGCCAAGTTCAAAAATCAAATGATGTCTTGAGTTGAGGACTTGAGGGGGCGGACCAAGTTAGAGAATAGAGAGAAAACAAAAGTTATCAATGAAATAGAAAGTCAAACTGTTTTATAGAAAGAAAGCTGAAATATTTATATTTCAATAAACTTTCTAAATTCTAATCTAGGTAAAAAAGGACACCTAATTCTAATTGTAATTGCCTAATGGGTTGCCTATTTGGTGTAAAAGACTATAGAAAACTAGGATAAATACAATTTAGGTAAAAAAGGACACCTAATTCTAATAGAAGACAAAAGTTATCAATAAAAGTTATCAATAAAATAGAAAGTCAAACTGTTTTATAGAAAGAAGGCTGAAATATTTATATTTCAAGAATCTTTTTAAATTCTAATCTAGGTATAAAAGGACACCTAATTCTAATTGTAATTGCCTAATGGGTTGCCTATTTGGTGTAAAAGACTATAGAAATTAAGATAAATACAATTTAGTTAAGTAGGAACTAGAAGACTAATTAAGTAGGAACTACCGAACTAGAAGACTAATTGGTTCGGTTTTCACATAAAAAAACCGAAACTGATCCGATATATCGGTTTATGAATTTGCCCAACCCGAAACCGACCGGTGCTGATGAAAACCCGGCTGACTCGGGTTGAGTCGGTTCGGGTTAGTCGGGTTGGGCCTTTTTATGAATAGTCCTACCCCATAGTACAAGGTCTTTACAATTTAATCTTTAATTTTAGACCTAAAACCGAATCAATTGGTAACAATTGGGTTTGATCCAGTAAACCCGATTATAATAAATTTATTGAAAATATTATATAAATATATAAAACCGACTCTAAACTGATAATAACCAGAACAATCTATTAGGAACTGGAATTGATCCATTGGTACCTGATCCTAGAATCATAATCGATTCAATCGGTCCGAGTCCGTCGGGCCGGACCCGACCCATTGACAACCCTAAGAAGGGTGAAGTTGCTTAGAAATCGAGGGTAGAAGCGGAGTTACGGTTTCATTCAGTTTGGACGAACGAAACACCGTTTTCTCTTTTTTGATAAATAAACGAAACACCGTTTTCGTGGAACAACAAAGCGAAAAGGGTGACAACGCCACCGACTCGACCTATTTCTGTTCTCTGCGAGCAAGAGAGTGAGGGTGAGAGGGAGTGACCGAGTGAGAATATGTTCCTACGAAGGTTCGCGCGGCCATTGTTGGCGAAGGTGAAGGAGACGACGGGGATCGTTGGGCTGGATGTGATCCCGAATGCTCGGGAGGTGTTGATCTCCCTCTACACAAAGACCCTCAAAGAGATCCGGGCCGTCCCCGAGGATGAGGGTTACCGGAAAGCGGTGGAGTGCTTCACACGACACCGGCTCAATGTCTGCCAGGAGGAGGAGGACTGGGAGAAGATCGAGAAGCGCATCGGTTGCGGTCAAGTCGAGGAGCTCATTGAAGAAGCCAAGGATGAACTCAAGCTCATTTCATTGATGATCGGTCTGTAGCCTTTCTCCTCCTAATTATTCTTCTAACTGTCTAATTTCAAACAAATTAAGAGATAGATACACAGGAAACAAGAACAAAAACCCGCAATACAATTTCAATAGATGATGCCCTAATTACCTAAGATGGTGCGAATTTCTTGTCAATTACTTCGTGGTTATCTTAATGACGATTTGATGATCAAGTGTATGAAATGAAGGGGTGTAAGGCAGTTTTCTACTGTTGCCTAACGAGGCTTGAGGTGTGTCGGATCTATTTTGATTTGATTGTGGCGATGCGTTCTTTTCGACATTTCTCATAGTGGATTCGTGCTTGTAGTAAGGGAGAAACTTTGAGCTTCACGTAGTAGTTACATGGTATGATTTTATTCTTACTAATAGCCTGATTCTATTCACCTCTTCTCTCTCCCCCTTTTCCTTATATATAGGAGAAGTCACATCTCCTTAGTCTGTGAAGCTTTAAGGTTGAGGCTACTAGGTGGTTGTTTTGCAGGTGAAAAATCTAAGAACTGCAATAAACATATGTGGGTTTATTTGATTACTCCAAGTGGGACTCCTGGTCCATAATATTTATTCATTGTTGAGTTGTTACATCTTTGCGAAGAAAATTGAACATAAAAAAATTCAGAGGGTTCTTAGAATGGTGCTACCCTCCTAGAAAAGAAAATCTTGGGTTTAGGGCATGAAAAAGGTTCCGTATAGTCTGAAAGATGCAACCTAAGTTATAGAGGCAATGTTGCATTCCTCAATTTGGTCTGGAACTTTCTTTTTGAAATCTTGAGTTTTTTTTTTTTTTTTTTTTTTTTAATTCCTAGGGATCATTTGTCAATTTTATAAGAATTATGTGATCCAGATATGACTCTGATTGATGTTAAGCAGGTGGTCTGAAATTAGTTTGAGTCAATAAGAGTCGGTTTGTAGCCTTCAATTCCAATTTATGGTTTGTGGAGGCATCAGGGGAAATTTGGAATTTCAAGGTCTTGGTCTGGCTGTTCTACCTAAAACATGAAATCTTTAGTTTGTGAAATCGTTCAGCCCTGTATGGATGTTTCCCTTATCGTTGTCTTTTCTTGTTGCTAATTTCTTTTGATCTTATCTTTTTAGTTTCCTTCTTTTCCATTCTTTCACTACTGGGCACTAAAACTGCAAATCTATTGATAACATGTGGACTAATCATTCCTAATCCTTCAATCCCAAGTAAGTTTCTTCTCTCTAATTGTCACTGAAATCCTCCAAACCCTTGATAAAACCCTATCCTTCAAAAACCTCTTCTCCTATAAACCAATAAATGTTCAATTAGGCCATTCTATACCCGCTACACTCTAGAGAAACCATATTTACTTTTTTAGGCTATGATGCTTGAATCTCTGTACATGTCCAGCATACCAGTATCCAACATGATATATACAAGATAGGACACTCCGACACTGGATGGTATTAAAATTTTAAAAGACAATGGTATGTTTTGACAAATAATACCATAAAACATCTGTATATGTTGGAAATTTAATTACATTTTTTTGATTAGTAGAAGTTTAATTAAATTTTGCAAGGCATAAGTCTTGAGTAGTGATACTTGGCTTCAAAACCATGACAAAAGACATGATATTAAGTATTAAATATATTTAATGGGATACCCATACATGTATCCTTGTCCAGGATTTTAGGTAATGGAGAGTTGTATCCCCATTTATCTGTTCCATGTGAGGGTCCATACCTTGGTATCATAGTATTCAGGATCTCCTTTTTGACCATTTTCCAAAATTCATCCTAAATATTTGGTTATTTATTGCAACTCTCTTATCTTTCCTTTGGGAATTCTACATATGTAGGATTTCTAGCTTGTTTTCTCTCTTTGGGCTCTTTCTTTCAACTTCTAACCTTCAACACCTACCTAGACCCTTCCTTGTGCCTAGTCCCAAGTCCCAACCCACACATACACACACGCCTAGGTGCTCAGATGAGGTGCATTTTAAGGTATGTGCCTTACCTAGGTCCTTGGTGCACCTTGTGCTTCAGCCTAGGTGTGTGCCTTTTTTTAGTTTTTGTGCTTTTTGTTTTTTTTTTTGAACCTAACGGCTGGGCTGGGGGATCCGTCCCCGAACCCTCCAGTCAAGCCCCTCAAGGCAAGCTCAAGAACCTCCCATTTGCTAATGTTGTTCATTCATTCATCATATTAAAATATCTTCTTAAAAGGCAATTAAAATTATAAAATCATTTTTTTTTTGTGTAAGGATTAAGAATTTAAGACCCTAATATGAACTTGTATGGGCTAGCTTTGAGGGGCTTGGTACAAAAGTGGCTCGTAGAATTAGGAATGCTAGATGTTTTACATCACATTAGCTGTTCCTGTTTGAAGTAATGCAATTGAGTAAGAAAAGAGATTGTGGGTTTTACATGCTTGAAAATGTTATATATGTTTGGTTTTATTTAAATTTTTTTTTTTGATCAGAAAATTAGGGTTAAAATAAAGTTTTACAGCTTCGTGTATGGGATTAATGCTCCCACACTATTACATATTTCTGTCCCTCTTTACATTGCAGCCCAGAACAATTGTTGCCTCAAAGGCCCTTGTTTAGTAAGATAATCAGCTAGCCCATTTGCACTCCTTCTAACCCATTTGAATTCAGCCTCTACCTCCCTTGCAACCTTTTCCACTTCCCTTATCACTTGTTTGAAAGTCCATGGAATACTTCTATTGTTTTTAGCCCAAGAGATGATCACCTTGGAGTCCCCTTCAACCTCAATATGCCTAATTCCTAGTTGCTTAGCTATCTTCAGTCCTTGTAGCAATGCCATTAACTCAACTTTTAGAGAGTTGCATGCCAATCGGTCCAGAGAACAAAGCTAATATTCTCCTTTCAGAATTTCTGATTACTCCCCCAATACCTGATAGTCCCGGATTTCCAAAAGAGCTTCCATCAAAATTCAGTTTAAGTCTGTTGCCATTTGGAGGTTTCCATTGGTTTTATTTTTAAATTTTCATTTGAATATGCTTTACATGCTATGCTTGTCTATTTTAATTTTAGATAATAGGTTGTTTAAAGCATTTGCTTAAAATTTAAGTTATATTTTTCATTAATATTTTTTGATTTTTTTGGCATTTTTTTTCATATTTTTGCACCTTGCTTTTAAAAGGCATGCATCACCTTGTGCCTTGCGTCTCGGGTGCAAATTGCCCCATGCGCTTTCTTTTTTGCACCTTGTGCTTTTGAAACACTAAACACACATGCACACATACACACACACAATCACAACAATCTCCTACTTTCAACACCCATCAAGTAGGTTTTTTGCACCAGAGCGTTTCACAAGCGTTCTGTTTTTTGCTGATGTGTCATTCATGCCACATCAGCAAATAAATGGAATCGGTAAGAAATCGCATTTGGCAATCTGCTTTTCAGAGAAACGTTTTTGCAATGATTAGCTCCAGGATTCGGGAAAGGAGGGGTTTCTTGAATCGTTAAATTGACGATTCTTGAATTGCCTTGGTGATCTTGAATCACTAAGGTGATGTGACACATTGAAATTTGAAAAAACTGACTTCTTTTCTGAGATGTCATACAGTTGTCAATATAAGTATATTATAATATAAGCCAAATCACTTTAAACGCCAGGTCAGCTTGCATCTCTACCAGATACGATTTGAGTTTTTCAAAAAAAAAAGGTGAAACAAAACACTTGTAAATTGGGGAACACCTGTGAAACGCTATGGTGCCAAACACCTAGCAAATGTTTGTAGTAGGAAGGTTTGGTATCCCATCCTACGTCAGGGGGACTGCCAAATCATCCCTTTGGTAAAAGGATGATCTTTCGCAGTTCTTAAGCTTCTAAGAAATGAACAAACAAGAAAGAAATATAGAATAGCTCCTATAGCTATTCCTTCACATCCTCTTGATCAGATGGTAGGGGTTATTATGTAGAAGTGATTCCATAGATACTCTTTCTCAATCTTGCAAATTGCAGTGCATTCTTGGCTTTCATGTGATTTCCTGTCCATGTATCTTATAGGCGATGGAAAGTGGAAACTAATTCTTGCCCGTTAATTTATTTGTAGAAAGTACAAAAAGCATAGAGCTTCCAAAGGAAGGCTAAAAAAAAAAAATCCTTGGGCAGACCCAACCAGCCCATCATACACCCAAATGCAAATTACTCTACAAGGGGCTTCAATATAAACATCCCTATCCATGCTGCTCTAACCAAAGATTTAGCTAGCTTATTCAGTGATCTGTAACCCAGCAGGATGAGATGTTTCCTCTGGCTTCCAAAGATCCAGCCACCTGGATAGCAGTGGTGTAAGATAATTAGTACTAGACAGTTGAACTGGTGACCCAGTGACCCAGTGACTTTTCGTTACCCAGTTAAATGATGGTTCTCACAATTTGAATGGGTTAACTGCCTACTTACCTGGACAAACCTGAGTACCTGAGCCAGTAGCATTCAGGTTTTATGTCAGTGAGTCTTACAATATTGGTCGATAGCACCAAGACCCCTTACTCCTGTTCTTCATCCATCCTACCACTACTTGTGAGTCCTCCCTTTCACCTCTTTTGTGGCATGCCCTAGGTAAAAGTTCAACTTCCTCGAAAGAAAAAGAAACTGTCAGAAGAATCACCAGCACTGACTGGCACTTGAATACACCTGAGGTATCCCTCCACTCTTTTGACACCTGAATGTTCTGGTTTCCCAACGGCAGCCATCAAAATTAAACTAAACTGTTTGGTTGGTGAGGACCACATATGAGGTGCACTGCCCTTTAATGTTGAAGAAGTAACTATATAGAACCAATCTCTCAAGATCACTTGTGTTTTATTAACTCCTCTCTAATACAAATCCAATGTGCCAGCATTGGATTTGGGATGCAAAGTAGGAAGTCTACCTTAACCTTCCAAATATTTGGGTCACATTGGATTTGGGATGCAAAGTAGGAAGTCTACCTTAACCTTCCAAATATTTGGGTTTGCTTCTTGGCACCAAGTGCACATCCAAAGCCAT